TCCATTCCATTCCATTCTATATTCTATCCTTTCTCATTCTATTCTATACTATTCTATTCTATCCTTTCTCATTCTATTCTATTCTATTCTATTCTATTCTATTCTATTCTATTCTATTCTATTCTATTCTATTCTATTCTATTCTATTCTACTCTACTCAAAATTGGTCGTCTAAGCCAATGTTTCTCAGCCGTGGTGACTTGAAGAGGGATCAACGTCAATTCCCAGAATCCCCCAGCCAATGTGGCTTAGGATGTGCGGACGTGAACTTCCATGCCGGCTGGGGAATTGTGGGGGTCAACGTCCACCCGCGGCCAACTTTGAGAAACATTGGTCTAACTCCACTCACCTTGACCTGCACCTGCAGCTAGATTAACCAGGTTTATTTAATCGGGTTGGGTTACACACACACACACACACACACACACACACACACACACTCAGAGCCTCTCTTGGAAGAAATCAAAAGAGAAGGAGGAAAACTTACTTTCTGATCTCTTTGTGTAGCTTGCCTCCATTGTGATGGTGCGGGATGCTTTGTTGCCATCATCTGGAATGAAAATATCGGGTAGGGAAGAGGAGACAGGATTCGTTATGCTGGCCAGGGTTGTTGTTGTTGTTGTTACTATTATTATTATAATACTAGCTGGATACCCATGCTTTACTATGAAACTATGTGATTGGGCTTAAGTTTTTGTGGAGGAAAAATAAGGGAAAAAATTCTCCCTCTGCCTACCAGCAGAAGAGACTGACCGACAGCCATTGGTCAGAAATGACATAGGCGCAAGGGGCTCTTCAAACTTGGCCAAGTTTAGGACTTGTGGACTTCAACTCCCAGAATTCCTGAGCTAAACTGACTGGAGGAGGAATTCTGGGAGTTGAAGTCCACAAGTCTTAAACTTGGCCAAGTTTGAGGACCTCTGATCTATCACCTATCAATCTATCATCTCTCTCTCTCCGTACCTACCCATCTATCTATCTATCTATATCTATCTATCTATCTATCTATCTATCTATCTATCTATCTATCTATCTATCTATCTATCTATCTATCTATCATCTATCTATCTATCATCTATCTATCTATCTATCTATCTATCTATCTATCTATCTATCTATTATCTATCTATCTATCATCTATCTATCTATCTATCTATCTATCTATCTATCTATCTATCTATCTATCTAATAGCTATCTATCTATGTATGTATCTGTCTATCATCTATCACAAGAGTCTTCAAACTTGGCAAGTTTAAGACTTGTGGACTTCAACTCCCAGAATTCCTGAGCTGACATGACTGCAGGAGGAATTCTGGGAGTTGGAAGTCCACAAGTCTTAAAAGCGGTCAAAGTTTGAAGGCCCCTGACGTAGGGTCTCCTGCTTGGGTTGAGGCTATTTCTCCCCCTCCCCCCAACCTGCGCTACAAGCCCCCGCCCCTTCTTACTGGACTGCACGAGGCGCTGGGTTTTGGTGACCGTGCTGACGGCGGAGCCATCTGCTGAGGTTCTGCTATGCTGGGAGGTGGTCTCGGTGGTGTGGGAGCCCCCCTTCGCTTTGGCCTCTTGCAGCCGCTCGTTCCGCTCCTTCTCTCGCTGGTCTGCAAAAAGCGGGGAGTGGGGTGAGAGAAATTGCTCAGCAAGTGGGGGTTATTTGGCGTTTGGGAGGCTTCTGGGGCCCCCAACTCCAAAGAGCGCCAGGCAGCCTTACTCCGTCGCCTGCTTGGCGTTGGGATGGGCTGGCAAGCTTTACTTGGGGAGATGGGCAGCGGTTCCTTTCATCTCCAAGGGCAGGCAAAGAAAGAGGAGAGAGGGGCTCAAGAGACCCTTCCTCCTCCTCCTCCTCCTCCTCCTCCTCCTCCTCCTCCCACTTGGCTAACTCAACTTTTTCTTTTTTAGCTTTGTTCACTTTAGTGTCATTGCACCTTGCACAAGGAAATTAAAGGCCATCTTACAGTGCACATTATGACCATGAAAATAAACACAAACACGCATCCTTCGCGTTCTATGCCATTGAATTGAAAACCCCTGATATTGCATGAATATTGCACTATACAGTAGAACGCAATAGAGTTCCTGCCCTGGGATAGAAACTGTTTTAGAAGCGAACCCATTTTGGGTCAAAGGGAAGGGTGAGGGCATTGGCCAGAAATCGGAAGTAAACGCCTCCCAAAACTCACAAAAAACTGCCCAAAATCGCAGTCACGAGGCTGCAGGGCATGGCAAACAGCTGTATCAGTGCCAGCTGGCATGCCATGCCGTGCTAAGGGCCCAAACTACGGTTCTGGGTCTGGGGGAGGGAAGGAGACGCCCATCAGAAGTTGTAAAATGGGTCCTAAGTAGCTCTGGGGCAGGGGTCTCCAAACCTTGGCAGATTTAAGACTTGTGGACTTCAACTCCCAGAGTTCCTCAGCCAGAGTTGGAGTCCACAAGCCTTAAAGTGGCCAAGGTTGGAGGCCCCTACTTTGGGGAATGCCTGTCGTAATTCTTGGACCAGCCGTTGAGCAAAAACAGCCGATGTTTTATCGTTAAAAAGCCAGGATAGGAAGTCCTCGACTTACAATGGTCCATTTAGGGACTGTTCAAAGTTACCTCGCTTCCGCTGGCGCAGATCCCGCATGGCTGCCCGGATCAGCCGTCGCTCCTCAAAGTCTCTGGTCTGGTCCAGCTGTGGAGACAAGAGGCGTAAAGCTTTTGGGTCAAAGCTCACTTAAGAAATATCTCTTGCTTAGCGACATAAGCTCAGTTCATTTGGCACTTTAGTTGTTGGCAGCCATTCAAAGGAGAGAAAGGTGGGTGCTTATCTCGAGGGATTGTTTGGGACTCATTACAGGCTGGGAATGCACATAATTCCCAGCGCTGAAATAAAAAGGGAGTTGTTTGGACTAAGCGCGCGCTTAATTACGGCCTTAGGAAGCCTGGGTCAGAACAACTAGGTGCAAACTGGAAGGACTCACCCAAGACAGCCATATTTCCCCCCCTTAAACTTCCTCTTCCAAATGTCTCCCCGCACAAACCCTGATGCCTGCCAGTCTAACCAGCATGGGGGCGTAGGGAGTACGGATTTCCACAAGAGGAAAGACAGGCTAGGCAGCTACTACTGTACCATCTTATCCAAGACGTCTTCTTCTTCAATTTTGCTCAGCTCCTCAGCGCTCAGACGATTCGGTTTTCGCTCTTCCTGCACCTTCTCCGTCCTGGTCAGCGGGGCCACCTTGGGCTGCGTGGGCAACTCGGCATCCATCTGAAAAGACAGGGCGGTACGGTGAGGCTGGACCGGCCGCTCGGCCTTCTGGAGGGACATCTGGATGAAATAGGAACAGGACTTAAAAAGAGTTATATGCCGCTTTGCAACGCGTTCCAGCTCTCTCTAAGCGGTTTACAGTCAGCCTCTTCCAGCCCCCAACAATCTGGGTCTTCCCATTTTGTGGAAGGAGGGAAGGCTGAGTCAACCTTGAGCCGGTCAGGATCGAACTGCTGGCAGTCGGCAGAGTGAGCTTACAATACTGCATTCTAACCACTAGGAAGGAAGGAAGGGAGGGAGGGAGGGGGCACCTTTGGGGACAATCACAACCAGATTGACTGAGAATCTCCGTAGACTTTCAAGAAAGCGAAATCCCCAAATTCCATCCTTGGCAATCTTTGGGTATTTTGGCAAGCAGTGTTGGATTTCCAGGAACTCACTTAAGGGAAAACTCTCGTGCAAAGCACCCCGTGGTGGGATTATTATTATTATTTTTTTGCAGGAAGATTAAAGGGCTTTAGTGGAAAGCTGGCTTTGTGAACGGGGCTCAGGGCAAGCTTGGCATCTCCAAGCAACAAATGGTTATGCCAACTCCCCTGTTGGCAGAATCCCGGCGGAACGCCAGGCATGGCACCATCCAGGTCGGAAAAACGCCCACGAGGCCCATGGCAGACATGGAGACCCTCAGCCAAAGGTGCCAAGCAAAGAAGGCAGAATATCCTCCAATGCCTGGCATCGCTGTTTTCCAAACCAGGCAGCGTGAGGGCACAGCTTATTATAGGTCAGCATTCCCTGGCCGAAAAGACACCTCTTTGCGGGCTTCCAAAAAGTTATTCTTGGGTCTCCCTCAATCCATTCGGCAGGGAAAAAAAAAACCCCACAGCCAAGTTTACAATCTCTTTTGTTGTTTGATTCATTTGGGTTCTCAAGAGCTGCTTCTTCCTTATTTCCTGAAAACCTGGGAGAAATATCCCACCCTCTTCCTTCCAAAAAGGCCAACCCACCTCTCCGCTTTTTTCCAAAGGCTGCAAGGTATATTCTCAAGTCTTTCTGCCAAAAAAACTAATGCACTCCTAAATTGCATTAACAGAGGGATACAATCGAGATCAAGTGAGGTACTAATACCTACTCTATAAAGCCTCAGTAAGGCCACACCTAGAGTACTGCATCCAGTTTTTGGTCACACTATAAAAAGGAGGTTGAGACTCTAGAAAGAGTGCAGAGAAGAGCAACCAGGAGGATGAGGGGACTGGAGGCTAAAACCTGCAATGAACGGTTGCGGGAACTGGGCTGGGCTAGTCTAAGGAAGAGAAGGACCAAGGGAGACAGGAGAGCAGCCTTCCACTATTTGAGGGGCTGCCACAGAGAGGAGGAGGGGGTCAAGCTATTTTCCAAGGCACCTGAAGGCCAGACGAGGAACAATGGATGGAAGCTGAACAAGGAGAGATTCAACCTGGAAATAAGGAGACGTTTTCTGTCAGTGAGAACCATCAACTGATGGAACAGAAGTCGCCTTCAGAAGTTGTGGGAGCATCATCCCTGCAGGCTTTCAAGAAGAGTCTGGACTGCCATCTGTCAGAAATGGTGTAGGGACACCTGCTGGGGTCGGGGGTTGGACTAGATGACCTACAAGGTCCCTTCCCCAATTCTGCATTTCCACGGTCCGACTCCTGCGCTTCACCTCTCCAGCCACCCGCGTGTTGGACCACAACAGACCTAATGCTGGCCGAGGATCAGGATTCCAGATCCCATCCATCTTTGGGGATGTCCCGCATTAGGGAAGACCGTGCTTACTAGCTGGGGTGAAAGCAGGCAGGCTCCGATTCACGGAATGGGAGGAGGGGTAGAAATCGAAGGGCTGGTCAGGGTCAGCAACGGGGGTGAGGAGGGGGCGTCATAAACCCTAAATGGGAATTAAAAGGCACCCAAGACCAAAGCGGAGGGGGGGCTGCTGGAGCAGAGTAAAGCCGAAATTCTGGGGTGGGTCAGGTGTCCGGAGGCCCCCATCCCACTGGCTCCTCCGCTGGCCGGAGGGATGGGAAGGCAGGCCAGGCCAAGAGCCCACGGCAGCAACTCTTTCCAAGAGCTGGTGAGAGCTGGAGAAAAGAAAGAGACTGGACAGCCGAGCTGGGGGTTGGACTAGATGACCTCCAAGGTTCGGTTACTCTGGAATCCCCAGATCAACGATTCAGTTGGCCTCAGAGGTTGCTTCATCCCTGGAGGCTTTTAAGAAGAGACCAGGCAGCCACTTGTCAGGAATGGGAGAGGGGACTTGTGCCCGAGCCTGGGAGGTTGGACTAGATGACCTCCAGGTTCTCTTCCAACTCTGTTATTCTATCTTATTCAGGGCTCTCTTCTCCCCCGCTCCCAGGAAATCCTTCTGCACACCATCTCTCCCTCTCCCTCTCCCTCCCTCTTTCTCTCCCTCCCTCTCTCCCTCTCTCCCTCTCTCTTCCCATCCCTCTCTCTCTCTCTCTCTCTCAGGACTTTTGCATTCCATCACTAGATCGATTCGCTTTAATCTACTCGATTCCAGAAGGCAGATCAGATCCCCATTATTTCCTGACTGCCCCCCCCAACACCCCCACCTAGTTTCGCCAGAGTGAAAGTTTCCTGGGAATTCTGGGAGTTGAAACCTGCACACCTGGACGTGGCCAAGGTTTTAGTAATAACCTCTCTAGGCGCAGCCACTCTTCCTCCCCGCCCCCGATGGCGATTTTGCATCCAGGAAAAACAGCCTGGCTTTTCCTTTGGGGAGGGGGGAAAAAAAACAACACCAGCCTCTATTTATAGGAAGCTATATTTTCTTCTCGGTAAGGAGACACCTGCAAGGCTGCGCTACGCCCCCCCCCCACCTTCCTTCCCTCTGCAGGAGAGACCCCGCTGCTGCGCAGATTGCAAGAATCAGGAAGTTTTCCCCCCTCCCTCCCTCCCTTTACTCTCCCCCCTAAACACAACAAAGCGATACAACATCATAAAGCAGTACGCATTTTTGGTTTTGTTTTTTTACTGGAGCCGCCTAAACTTCCACGCGACTTCTGTCGGTGCCGAGTTTCTTCGGCGTCACTTTCCGCCACGCGCCGGGCTTCCGTCCTCTCCTTGTTTGAATGTTCATTTCGATTTCTTTTGGGGAGGTAGGAATCTCTCTGCCGCCACCCCACCCCGAAAAAAAAAAAAAAAAAAAAGAGTCCCGGGATTTGGGAGTTTTCGGAGGAGCGACCCGGAACGGTGGGTTTTTAAGGTGCTGACCGGGGTGGGGGTTGGGCAAGAAGCGTCCTTGTTCCGTCTTCGTGCCAGGAGGAAAACAGGGCCGGCCGCGCCCTTCTGCTCCAAGAAGTGGGTGGGTGGCTGGGTGGGCACGCTACTCGCTGCTCCCTGCAGCCGAGGGGCTCTCGGGTTTGCTGTTGCTGGACTCGAGCACTTCCGAAGGCTTCGCTGCGTCGGCAGAGGTCGGGCGGTGGGTTGCCAGCTCTTTGTTCGTCTCGGTGTCCTCCGACGCCGGGCTGGGCTCTTTCTCCTGCTTCAGGAATTGCCGGAGCTTCTCCATGTGCTGACGGAGGTGCTGCTGCTCAGCCCGCAGAGTCGCGGCCTCCTGGCGCAGGTGGCCGATGGTGGAGACCAGCAGGGTCACCACGCGCTTGGCCTCGGCCACTCGCTGTTCCAGGATCTGGCGAGGCGTCTCTTGCAAAGCCGGATCCTCGGGGTCGGCCGTGGACGGCTCCTGCTTTTCTTCCAAATCGGGGGTGGGCACCCCAGGCATGATGCCAAGCCGAGGTACACACACACACGCGCGCGTGAAAGAAATAAAGGGGTGGCGGAGAGGCTCCCTCGGGGTGCAGGCCCGGCGTCCCGAAAGAAAGCAGACCCCGGACTTCTCGGCTGCCTGGCTTGGTCCACGGGTCACAAGGCAAGGAGGGTGGGCTGAGCCTTGATGTCAGTGGGCAGCTATTCTGGTCAGGGAGAAGCCCTGTCCTGGGTGGCATTTCCCCTGACGGACAAGGACAGAAGGCTGGAGAGGAGCCAAGCGACTCGGCTGGTCTGATGGGGGGGCGGTGGAGGGAAACGGCAGAGGAGGAGCTGGGCTTGTCCAGAGAGAGGGAAAAGAGAGAGAGAGAGAGAGAGAAAG